AAAGTTTTTGTTTCGTGAAACAACCTAAAGACATTATTAATTGTTTCATTAATATTAAAAGTAAAACGACAATAATTTTTACATTATATATAAATAAAATTTTTTAAACTATTGATTAACATTATTTTCAAACAATTATGTTTTCAAGTTATTTCACGAAACTATATAACTTTTTATAAGCGGATTCTTTTAAAAGTATTTTGTAAAAGGAATGAACACATTATGTGAGAAATTAACAAAGTTATCAATTTCTTAAAAGGTTATGGGTTTTAAATAATTCTACTTGAAAATTAAATAAAAGCTAACTTATTATAATGCTATTTAATAACTTTCGTTTCCTAAAAAATGTGTGAATTTTACAAAACTTATCCCTTGTTTCATGAAAAAATTATTTTTTAAAATTTTGATTAACAAATAAAAAATTTCAGATATTATTTATTAAAAAATCGGCTTGGAGGAACTTTTCTTTTTTTAAATAAGGAGTAATATTCAATAAAAAAATTCTAAAAAATGTTGGGAGAACATGAATTTATTTTTAATTGTTTAAATAAATTATTTATATTTTTTTAAAAAGTAAAAAAAAAGATAATTAATTAACGGAATAACAATTTTTTTAACAAAATTGTTTTGATGTCCAGCAAACTTCTTATTTGATAGATCCAAAAGGCCACAAAAGGATCAATCTGAGGACGAAAGGAAACTTCCGAACGATGGATTTTCTCTAATAAAAAGGATTAGAGTAAATAGGAATAAATTCAACGAAAATAAAAAAAATTGAATTAATAACACCACAACCACTTAAAAGAAGATAAAAATAATAATCTAAGAAAGAATCTTCGTTCTGTAATGAAAAAATTGAAAATGAAAAAGTAGATTTTGATGTTTTCTAAAAGTGTGAAAATTTTTGAATATTTAAAAAAAATATGTATTCCAAAAATTATTAAATTTTAAGAAAATACTAAAAAAATTATAAAAAATACTAAAAGTATGTAAATTTTTAAAAGATTAAAAAAAATATTGAAGAAATTATTAAATTTTAAGAAAATATTGAAAAAGTTATAAAGTTTTACGAAAATATTAAAAAAATAAAAAAGTTTTACGAAAATAATGAAAAAATTATAAAGTTTTACAAAAATATTAAAAAAATTAAAACGTTTTATAAAAATAATGAAACAATAAAAAATATTGAAAAAATTAAAAAGTTTTAAAATTTTACATTTTTTTCAATATTTTATTGAAATTTAATAATTTTTCTATTTTTTTTAAACCTTGTAATTATTTCAATATTTTCTTAAAATTTTTGAAAATTTCATTATTTTCGTAATACTTTGTAAATGTTTCAATATTTTCTAAGAATTTTGAAGAATTTTTAATGTTTTATTAAAATTTTATAATTGGTTTAATATTTTTGTAAAATTTTATAATTGTTTCAATATTTTCTAAAAATTTAATAGTTTTTTCCTATGTTTCTTTAAAATTTAATAACTTTTCAAGATTTTCTTAAAATTATTTTAAAATTTCGTACTTTTAGAATTTTTATGGTTTTTTTTTAGTATTTTTAGTGTTATAATTATTAATGTTCAAATTACATTCTTCTACCTCTTTATTTTTAAGCTCTAAAATTTTTATATTTTTGATAATTAGGTTAATAATTTTTTATTTTTGTTTACAAATTTTTATACTTTTTAGTATTGTTAAGTTTTTTAGAATTTAAATGCATTATAGTGATTAATGTTAAATTAGTTTTTTCTACCTCTTTATTTTTATAATTAGCCTAATACTTCGTCATTTTTTTACAAATTTTTAGTATTGTTAAGTTTTTTCGTATGTTTAATCTTTTAATTATTAATGTTAAAATCCAAAAACATTTAAACTGCAATTATATAAATATTTATTTTCGTTGGATGTATAGAGTATATGTATAGTGTGTATCTTGAAAGGTATGTCATCTGTATGTAAGTTGCTGTGATAATTTGTAAATCAAAGTATTTTATTGTCTTGATGAGATGTATATGGCTTTATTTAACTTTATACGATATGTATTTTATTAATTACTGTATTTTTAATGGTTGTCCTCGTGGTATTTACCTAGGACATAATAAATATATTCTATTCTAATATTTTCTACCTCATATAGTGATATATAGTATTTTTTGTAAGAGATTATTGAAATGTACATGTTATTTATCCTAACCATCCCTATTACTCCCAGTTTTAAACTAAATGTTAAATGTAACTTTAAAATTTAATTTTCCATTATTTTTTAATTATGAGTTATTTTTCTAGTCATAATTTTTTCACTATAACAATGTAAATCATAAATAACTACATATTGACAATTCAAAAAATATTGCAAATTGATTATTTCTAACAGTATTTTAAATTATTATACAAATTTCATCAATATTGTGTATCTGTGAAATTTTTAAATTCAAATCAATTTTCGCGCGCTATTTACTAACGCATAAAGGCGCTCGCACAACTCTACTGCCTGACTGCCTGCAGGTTGTCATGGTAACTCATAAGAGTAAGAGAGTCAGAAAATTCAAATTAAATGTTTTTTCTCCCTTACTCTCATTGCGCCTGCCTGCGCAGGCAGTAGAGCTGTGTGAGTGAGCGCCTCAAGAAGACTTCTTGGAGCGCCTTAATTCGGCCGTTCCCTATAGTTGCATTTCTTTGCCACAAGCAGCGCACTTGTATCACCCCCACCAAGTAACTGTCAGCGTATGGTGGGGAGAAAGTGACGAGGTTCAGTGTTTCACCTAAAACAAACAAATTCGTCTCTAACACGGTTGAGTGCACATAACCAAAAAAACACTCTTGACCACCATGAAGAACTGCTGCTGCTTCAAGTGCGTCCGGGATACTACGTCTGCGTATAATGTAAGTATTAACAATTAGGCAATTATTAATTAATTAAATTTAAATTAAATTTAAATTATTAATATTTTAATTTTTCATGAGTAATATACAAGAATATATATATATATATATATATATATGTATGTATATATAATTTAATTTATAAAATTTTTTTTAATTAAAAATTTTTTTTTTAATTAAAAAAATTTTTTTTTTTAATTTAAAAAAAAAATTTTTTTTATTTTTTCTTATATATTATATATTTATCTTCTGATGATAAAAAAAGCAATTATTTATTAAAATATTGTTCAAACAATTAATTGTTGCTATTTTTTTCATAAACTATTTATACTTAGGGTAAGAAATTTATATTTGTTTCTTATGTACTTTATTCATTTTTTTATATTCATAAGTTTCATTTGGGTTAGAAATTTCTAATTTTTTCTAAACAATTAATTGAAAAGTTGAAAACTATAAACTATTTAAACAAGGGTTAAATAATAAATTTTTTGTTTTTTTATTATACTTAAGTGTTGAAGTTATTAAAAATTACACAATTGAGAAAAACTAAGAATTTATAATTTTAACTGTAGTAAATTAAAAAAGTCTATTTACCAATAAACGGTGAAGAAATTTGTTTTAAAGTAGTAGAATCGTTAGACGCTACTTTAAGTGGTTTAGGCCAAGGTATCTTTGGTTTCGAAGGATTTATTCCTAGCTCCGCCTTTTGAATCCCATCCGCACTAAAGACAAATTTTTGATGCTACTGATAATTTAAGGTACGAAATTCTTTTAAAATAATTAGCACGACCAGAAAATCCCTCGGCTGCATCTGAGTAATTTTCCGAAAGGAAAACTGAGATCGGAAGAGAATTAAAAGTTTTCTTCCCATCTCTCTCTGCTCAGAAGCGCTGGTTAAAGTACTGGTCACCCGTTTTGGAAAGCCCCTCGGCTGCGGTTGTAAACCTTACTTTTTCAAAAAGAAGGAGGTGTTACCTCCTTCGGAGTTAAGTCAAGAGGTCTCTTTTCCTCCTGTAATTAAATTCCAATTTTTTTCTCTCTCCTTTTTCTTCTTTTGAATAATTTTTTTTTTGTTTTGAATTCTTCCAATATGTCCAAATAAAAATGTCTTCCGGTCTATGGAAACCAAAGAGAGTCAAGAAAGCCGGATTTAAGCATTCCCAGAAATCAGGAATTAAACCAGGCTCTGAAATTTTTTACATACTTACACACCCGATAACTAAAATCCGACCAGTGTGCTCAGTTAAACCTACTCCCAGAATAACTCCGGTTGTTATTCCACCTGCTCCTGCTGTAATCACATTCGACCGGGACCTAGTAACGAACACCTAGAACAGTTATACGATTCTGACACGACTGCAGATTATGACATTTTCCACCTCAATGGGGAAATGCTCACTTGTACGCACTTGGTACAGCATAGAATTCCGACCATCGATGACCAAGTGATCCGAAAAAAAACAGAAAAACAGAAGTGGCATATCTTGGGCATCTTATTGGCGGGAATGGCGTCAAACCTAACCCCAATAAGATCGAAGCTATGAAAAATTTACCAAAACCTAAAACACAAAAAGACATTAGAAGTTTCTTAGGGTTATCCGGATACTACCGCCGTTTTATTAAAGACTACGCTAAGCTAGCTAAACCCCTGTCGGAACTATTAAAAAAGGACGTAAAGTGGAAATGGGGCGAATCGCAATGTAAAAGCTTTTTAAGGCTAAGAAAATACTTGTGTCGTAAGCCTATTCTGCAATATCCGGACTTTCAACAGGGATTTAAGCTAACCACCGACGCCTCAGAATATGCCGTAGGGGCAGTGCTAACTCAAGAGGTAGACGGCATAGATTTACGACCTTATCTTTATGGTCGAAAATTTACCTTAGCGTGTGATTTTGAACCCATTCACTGGATGTCTTATATTGATAATCCAAGAGCAAGGCTCTCAAGATGGAGACTGAGGCTTCAGGATTACCAATATAAGTTTTAGTATAAACCGAGTAAAATAAATCTAATCGTGCAGGCCTTATCAAATAATCCCGTGGAAGAAAAGGCAGCTAAAAATGATCAGTGTTCTGGCGCGAGTTCCGAGTCGGACTGGACCGATTCGTCACTAGACAATGGCTGCAGATACCGAAATTAATGACTCTACCCAAAAACCCCCGCCACTTCGTGTACTGCCTATCAAGGACAGTAAAAAGGACAATAAAAAGGATAGTGCGAGAAAGGATTCTAAGAGTGTTAACCCTTCCCAACCCAGTTCTTCTTCCACAAGGCCTCATACTAGATCGACATCCCAATCAGAGAAAAGGACCTTTTTAAAACCCAATCCAACTTTCAAATTACCTGGAGCTCCGTCGAAGGCCCCCACAACAAAACCAGGACAGCCGGCAGCGAGCCTCCAACCTAAGATCCCGACGCGAAGAGCGACAGCCCCTGGACCTTTGAATTTTAAGCCCACATCTATTTTAAAAGGACCAAAAGGAGCTGCACCAAGCAACCGATCAATGAGGATGAACGCTGACAACTTCCAACTTCCTGGTCCATCTTCAAGATCTGAGCCTCCACCCCGAAGCCCAGGAAGGCCTAAAGGCTCTACCCACCCAAAGGAATCCGACGGAGAGGAGTCCTATCGGCCTCCAGCAGCAGTAGGCTCAGTCGACCCTGATGTCAGCTGCATAGCCAAAAGATTGAGGAAAAGAACGACCTCTGCTGCCCAACCTTCAAAAGATTAAGCACTTTCCAGTTCCTCTTCAGATGAACGACTGTCTACCAGCGAAAGTGGAGAAGATCCGGACCCTCCATTATTTCGAAAAGACCATAGTGCTTTCCCCAGTGTTCCGATAAGCCCAACCCCTAAACAACCTTATGCCACCGAAAGTGATCCCAATGTCCCCGAAACTTCAGCCCTATAGTTTCCCTTGTCGAATGAACCTTACACAGACGTTTACGTAGATGGCGCGTGTGGAGATAATGGTGGAACGAGGCCAAGAGCAGGCATAGGAGTGTGGTTCGGACCCGACCACCCCCTTAATGTGTCACGAAGATACGGAGGACGACAAACCAACAACGCCTCAGAAATCGAAGCGGCTACAGTGGCGATCCATCAAGAAAGGACAGCTGGAATCAGAAAAATAAGAATTAAAACTGATTCCAAGGTTCTTGTCCAAGGCATCAAGGAATGGGTTCCAAAATGGCAAAAGAACAACTGGAAGACAAACGACAATCACCCCTGCATTGACCTCGACAAATCAGTCCAAAAATTTGAGGAATTTCTGGCCAAGAGAGGTGTCAACCCATCAAACCTCACCAATCAAACCTTGGCTTGGGATCATGAAGGAATAGACACGACACGTCGGAAGCCACATGTCTCAGAAGGTGAAAGCGATGAAGAATATTTGGAGCTCCTGAAGAATGTGGATCCTTGTCAAGACTACAACGACAATGATTTTGGAAAAAGAGTCAACGATTTTCTGAGGAACTACAACCAAAGTAGACAAAAGAAAAGACAAGAAGAAGTAGAACAACCTGTTGCCGAAGCAGATGCAAAATCCCCTCGTCCTGAAGCAACCACAGAAGTGTTGCCTTCTAGCTCAACTAGACCACCATCCAGATGCACAGTCGACTCCATTCACTCCCAATCAAGAACGAGACACCCCCGCTTTGGAAAAACCAACCAGGGAAAGAAAAGGAAACATTATGCCACGCCGATTACAATCGCGAAATTCCAACAGTGAAAACACAGTGAAGTGCGCGGCACCAATGAGCCCCTTTTTGAACTTAAAAATCCCCTATTGTGACCCCCCGACCCCATCCTCGGCGTCTGAAAATTTTATTTCGGAAGACTGTGAGCCTATCGATTCCATTTCGAAACTGTTAATAGCAACGGAAAAGATAGACATGCAGGACATTCGGGACAGTAAACTTGGACTTGCAGTTAGCATCGATGAGTTAGTTCCAATCGTCACCGTTCTTTGTGTCAATCAACAGCTAAAGATCCTTGTTGACATCCCCTTACTGGAGAAATATAATTATCAGGCATTGAGAATGCATCCCCTTCCAACTGTCCAGGAGGCAATAGGACATAAGACAATAAGAGCTTATGTAAAGACCAATCATGATTACCTTATTATTGATGAAGAACAGCACACCTACCTTCTATTCGCGGAGTACATCTTTGGGTAGCTGTGACAAAGCACACGCATACATACAACTCCTTGGAACGGCTCTAATTATAACGACACGCACACGAGCGCATTATGTATAGTACAGGCCACTCACACATTGCAGGCCTCTTCTCGTTGCTTCGTCTCCTTCGTTGCATCCTTCCCTCTTCTTCTGGGCTCTATGTGCTTTCAAACAAACGCACTTGCAATGATTCTAGCCAAATATTATTTCTTTTAAAGCTCGAAGAAATAATAATGGAATTATTTATTTCAAAATTATTTAAAACATTTTAAATCACAAGGTGTTTCTGAGATTATTGAACAATTATAACCAGAACACCAGCACTAATTATTAGTGCAATTTTATTAATAAATAATTTAATTATTTATTAATAATAACAATAAATAATTTTTTTTATTATTTTTAATTAAAAAAAAAAATTTTTTTTAAACATTTTATTGTGATTGGAATTATTTAGAAATAATAATTCCAGAAAATTATCAAATTTCACTCTTCCCTTGCATCCCATGTGCTTGCCTGACAAACGCACGTGCAACGATTTGAATCAAACATTATTTTGTTTTAAACTCAACAAAATAGAGGGAAATTATTTATTCTAAATTATTTTCTCGATTCAAAATTATAAGGTGTTTCTGAGATTATTAAACAATTATAACTAGAACACCAGCACTAATTATTAGTGCAATTTTATTAATAAATAATTTTAATTGTTTATTAGTAACAACAATAAACAATTTATTTTTTTTTAATTAAAAAAATTTTTTTTAACATTTCATTGTAATTGGAATTATTTGAAAATAATAATTCCAGAAAAGTATCAAAATTTTCCAGACAGCTTTTCCGTTCTCACGCCAAGCGTGAGATCCGCAAGTCAGCAAAAATCTTTTCAACCAATGGGCCTAGAGTTCCAACCCCACTTTTACTACCACAACCACCTCTTCTAGCCTAGAATCTTCCCCCAGACCTAGAAGCAAGGAGTAGAGGAGCAATTAGCATTTTCAAAATTCGCAGTACAACTTTCGCCTTGTTAGTAAGCTCCTTGTGGAGGCATTAAAGCAATCGCAAAACGCCGGGACGCGCCCGTCAGTTAATCGACCCCCAAATTGAAAGACCACTACGAGATAGTGTCTAATTTTGGGACTGACGAAAATAAATATTAGATAAAAGCTTCACGAAAGTGAAGCCCGACTAAAATTAATTATTTTCGTTATCTCAAAATTTGAAATTTTGAATTGTGTTAATAATTAAAATCACGTAAAAATTCAATTCACAGACTAAAATTTGAGCAAGTAAATAGTTAAACTCAGTGCATAAGTGCGTGCCTAGTTTGAAATTTTCTTCCCTCGAATCGTGGGTTTATTTGTGCGTGTGTGGTGCTTAGGTCACCCAAATTTGAGTGGCCCAGCAAAAGTAAAAACGTCAAAGGAAATCTTCGCCCTCCAAGCATCTCAAAACTCAGGTGGTAGTAATAAGAAAAATTACAATTAGGAAGGAGAGAGGGTGAGTCAAAGATTGTATCGTTCCGTTTATTTTTATAATTTTCTTCTTGTAACCTTTCTGTAATCTTCCTACTTTTACTTAAATAAATAATGAGTTCTTATTTTAAAATTTTCTGTTTCTTATTATAATTTCCTTTTACTATTTAATTTTAAACAGAATTAAAATTCAAAAAGATGTTGCTTGGTAAACTCTTTTAAAAGAGAAAAACGAGCCCAGAAAATAAAAACAGGGTCATCTGGCCCTGGCAGCTTAAATTCCTCCAACGAACCTCCGCAAACGCGCGACAATATAATTTGTATTTACCCAAACACATAAATTCTTGTACTTTAAGTTTTTGATTTCTAGATTTTCTTTTGGATTTCGATAATTTAATAAATAGAAACTTTTCGGTTCGTAACACTGTTAACTGTGAATAGTTACAAATCGTGATCAATCGATTCCTTCTATAAGGGTTCGAGTGTATAATATTTTTTGCTACATTGAGACCTTTCTCTAATCCGCTTAAATCGTGTACGTTATTGAAAATAAGTAAACTTTTTAAAATGCAATATTTTCAAAATACTTATAACTCTAAAATTAGATACTCAGACAAATATAAGAAAATACGTATTCCTTGTCTTCCGATAGGAATAAAAAAATAAATATATTTTTATTGTAAATATATAATTTCACGTAAGAAAGATTTCTTTCTACAATTTTCGATAAAAAAATGATTTTTTCGTACTTTGTTTACTAAAAGTATATATTTTAAACTTTGATATGAAAAAAATTTATAGAAAAACGATTTTGAAAAAAAGTTCAAAAAAGTTTTTATTTTTAATTAATGGTTGATAAAAAAAGGATTTTCCGGTTCACCGAACACATCGTACACACATTTCATTCAAAAAATTGAGAGAAATAATATCTAACCAATTGCTAGCCCATAGCAGACACGAGGGCTAGATAATGTATACACGGAGAGAAAAAAGAGAGCCGTTTGATTTGTCATGAGAGCGCTGTTTTCCATGCCAAATCGCATGGAAAAGCGCTGTAATGCCCCACCCTACCCTATATATTATTATTATTATTATATTATTTATTATATTATTAGTAATATTATAACTAACATTATTACTATTAATATTACTACTATTATTACAGCTACTAAATATTAGCTAGGCGGTGTTAGCTACAGCAGCTAATAATCTAGCTAACAAAATAGCTGAAATAACTAATATACCTGGCTAATATTATTAGTTCTAATAATGCTTTTATTTTACATTTAGATTTTACATTGTACGTATTTTTAATAATCTTTCTTCTAGAAAGAGATAAATTTTTAATAATTTTGAACATAAAATTAATAAACTAATTTATAAAAATATAATAATAATACATAAGAAAAACTAAAATAAAAATGTATATAGAAAAGAAAAGGTTATAATGTTAAATTGATACATATAATAAAGTTTATCTTTTATTTTCAGATTTTTCTACACAATCCTTCATGTCCCACACTTTTTACGAATTCAATAGTTCAACGCTTCACATTTTGTTGACCGAAAATAAATAGTTATAGTATAATTTAATATATTTATCACTCTAAACTTATTTGCTAAATAATATATCTGTGACTGTCCACGAGAAAACAAGGCTTAGCTCCCAAACGTGAATTTCACAGGGCGAGCGATTGAAGTACTACGATTGAAGTTAACTACGCTTGACATACCCATCTTTAAATAAATCATACTCAATCTTTAAATTTATACTTTCTTTAATATTGTCTAGTGCATGCGTGAAAATCTACGGGGTTCACAAGCACGGATTGCTAACTTATTAGCTGTAATTGCTAACTTGTTTGCTGTAATGGCTAATTTGGATAACTTTTACAGCTAATGATTATTAATCTGTATAGCAATTAAAGATTAGGTGCTATAGCAAATAATTTGCTCACTTAGCTAAATTTATTATTACCATGAACAGCTAATAAATTTCTGCTAATGCTACGTCTTTGAACCCTACGTATGATGAATATATAAATATCACTAACATCTTACGAAATTAAGAAATTCCATTTCCTTCCATCTGTTACTTTATTATTAATCATTGACAAAGTAATCTGATAAATTAAAAAATTTATAACCTTTGTAACATTAGAAAACGATTAACTACTATGCACCTAAAGAAACAATTATGAATAGTTATAATAATATGAATGTTCCTGAACTAAACACAACATTTCGTAAAAATGACAATTCGTAAAAATGATATTTCGCAAAAATGACTTTTCGCAAATGTGGCAATTCGTAAAAATGGCTATTCGCAAAAGTGACATTTCGTTAAAATAACAGTTCGAATAAATATATTCCGTTAAAATTACAGTTCGGTAAAATGACATTTGGGGAATAATCATGCACCTCAACTTTTTCTTATATAATTGATTTTTTCGAGGAATTTAAATTAAATTTTTAAGAATAATTACATTTTTTGAGCAATTCCTGTAAAATACTATTAAAAATAATTGAAATCGTGCAATGAATTTAATTATTTATAAAAATAATTGAATAGTTGTAAAGAATTTTGTTAAAATTTTCAAAAATAATTGAATTCTTCAGAAGAATTTTATTATTTATGAAAATAATTGAGTTTTGCGAAAAATTTTATTATAAATGTTTAAAAAGAATTGAATTTCTTTAAAAAATTTTGCTATTACAGAAAATAATTGAATTCTCCGTAAGAATTTTGTAAATATTGTTTTAAATAATTAATTTTTTCGAAATATGATATAACAGACTCAAAACAAAGTACAAGTGGAGGATGATGTACATCGATAGGCAAAATCGGTAGGATACTGGAAGAAACTTCACATGGAAACGTAGAAATGACAATATCTAGATAACGACCATTTATGTTAAGAATTTTTTTTTAAAATTTAACGAGAATTTTATTTTTTCATCTTTAAAAATCTATAAAAAATATAAAATTTTATTTTTAAAAATTATTCATTTTATGAATTTACAAAAATTATTCTATTTAAATAATTCAATTCTCATAGTTGTATTTTGATAGG